TTTGTAGAGATAGGGTCTGGCTATGTTTGCCCAGGCTGATCTCAAACTCCTGGCCTTAACCGATTCTCCTGCCTCAGCCTCTTAAAGCACTTGGTTTAGAAGAGTGAGCCATGGTGTCCAGCCTCTCTTTCTTAAAGAGGCTTTAACCATCACTTACAGCACAGCTGTGTCCCACCTTGGCGGGGTGGGGGAGATTCTTTCCCACCTCTCTGAGTGCCTTATCTGGCTGCTTGCTCAGTGACAGCCAGCCTTTCTGCTATAACCAGGCCCTGAATGAGAGAGAACCAGAGCCACGAGCTGTGCACCAAATGCAGTAGGAAGACACGTGGGACGCCTCAGTGACCTTTTCAAACAGAGGGGCCTTTCCCTGGTAACCTGCCTCTGACCTTCCATCAGCCAGACGTGATTTTCCCAAGGCGACGGTGTTCCAGAATTCTCTCTGAGGAAGCCCTGGCAACTTCTGGGTCCTTCTATTCTGATTTCCAGTTTTCTTTTTCCTTTTTTTTTTTTTGAGACAGGGTCTTGCTTTGTTGCCCAGACTGGAGTACAGTGGCATGAACACAGCTCACTGCAGCCTTGACCTCCTGGGATCCAGTGATCCTCCCGCCTCAGCCTCCGTAGCTGGGACTACGGGCGTACACCACCACGCTTGGCTAATTTTTTATAGAGATGGTGTCTCAGTGCATTGCCCAAGCTGGCCTCAAACTAGTGGGCCCAAGCGATCCTCCTGCCTCAGCCTCTTGAGCAGCTGGGATTACAGGCATGTGTCACCATACTGGGCTAGTATTTATATTTTTTGAAGAGACAGTTCTCACTATGTTTCCCAGGCTGCCCTGTGGGCTCAAGTGAAGCTCCCGCCTCTGCCTCCCAAAGTGTTGGGATTACAGGCGTGAGCCACTGCACTGGGCTCCAGATTCCTTTATAAGGCTCAGGCCTTACCCTCCCTCCAGACCTCACATTCACGGGCTCCTTGATGGGAGCAGAGTGCTTCAGGACAAACTCGGGGCTCGGGTCTCCAGGTACTTGGGGTTTTCTCGTCCCCCAGCGCTGGCAGCTGGCCTGGCTTCTCTCGGCTGGAGATGCTGAAGACTCCTCGGCTGAGAAGCATGAGAACAGAGCTGGGAAAACCGGCCGTTTTTGTGGTTTGGGGGTTTGATGCAAGTTTCACAACTGATCTCCCAAGAACACGGTCGGTCCGGTCAGATGCACTCCCTGGCCAGGGGCCCGCTTCCCTGCTGACACCGGTGCTGACCGCCTGAGGTGGGGACTCTACTCACTCTCCCCACCCTATTCCCCGCTTTCCTTCTTTGGGGACCAGCATGGGGGCATGGAGAAGATGGCTTTGTTTTGAGGGCTCTAGTGGTTTCTGCCTCATCCTTCAGCCTTGGGAGAATTGATGGCCTGGCACCCCTCACTCCCATCCTGGAGACCTTTTTCAGATGCCTCTGGGCAGCTGTTCTTAAAGCATTCATTTTGGGGGGACCGCAGGCTGAGGACGTCTTTTGTGGTGATGATCTTGGGGTGGAGTGGATGAGTGGGAAGTCCTGGAGAGACCTCTAGGGCTCGGGAGAGATGAGGGCCGCCAGGGAGGCGCATGCCTCCACACTCAGCCCACCCCAGGACCCCTGAGCTGCCTCCTCTGCAGACAGCTGGGCTAGAGAGGGGGTCCTCAAGACCTGGCCCTGCCCCCCAAGTGGCCTGGCCCCCAGACCTATCCTTCCACCCTGGGAAGTCCCGAGCGGCCTCAGGCCAGCTGGGGCAGAACTGAAATTGGTGACATGTGCCTCTCTGGTCCCTTGGCTCCCGCCCCCACTCCCTCGCCCCCAGAGTCTTCCTGAAGGAGCCTCCAGACCCTCGTGGCCCAGCCCAGCCGGCCATGCTGGGAGCTGACCCAGTCCCAGAGGTTGGTGCGTGGTTCTAGATCTCGCCATCCCTCTTCTCGGGGGCACAATGCACTGGGGCCCATGCACGTTTCTCAGACACTCTATCTCTCACCCCACAGAGCAGGAGGGGGCTGCAGAGGGCAGGCTGGCTCAGGACACAGTATGAGGCAGGGGCCCCCGGGGAACAGAGTCTGGGCCCCACCTCTGCTGAGTGGGGAGTCCTGAGTGTCGTTACCGAGTTTTGGTGGGGGCCTGGGACCTCACTTCACAGCTGGGGAAACAGCCAGGGCTGGGACTCAGTGGTGAACAGCAGAATCCAACAGGCAGCTACACAGACTCACGGCCAGGGGGCTCGGTCCGAGGTGGGCACAGAAGATGACACAGACGTGTGAGTCAAGGAGTCAGGCCAGTGCTTTGGAGAATCCACAGGTCCACGCTTGGGGGGAGGGCACAGAGAGGTTCGTGGCCAGGCACATGTAGGCAGACAGAGGGGTTCCAGCGACCCCAGAGCCCTCTCAGTCAGAGACAGGTAAGCCTGGGCAACTGAGCCACCCAGGCAGGGAGCTGGCCAGCGTCTGAGGCCCCTGAGAGTTCACCTTCCCTGTGGGCACAGCTGGGCCCAGGTGAGGCCCACAGCATCGGGGTTGGGGAGAGACACCCAGACACGGCTGCTGCTATGGGGCCCAGGAAGGCCCGTATTTGGGGTGCATCTGCTGGGTGCCTGCGTCCCCTTCCCGTTCCCTATCCCTGTGCCCCTCCCAGCTTCCTGTTTCTGTTTTGGGGCTGCAGGAACTTCCTCTTCTCATCACGGATCAAAATGGCTTCTTGGTCTCAGCTGGAGGCCCGGCGGGGGGCTGGTCATCCCTTCCCGGGGAACAGCCACACAGCGAGGGGGGGTTCTCAGCCCCGGGGGTCAGTGGCATCTGCGCAAGGGTGAACCTTGGCCCTTTCCCAAAAGGCTCCCACAGCTCTTCCCATGGAGCCTCTCGTGTGAGTGCCTGCCCAGGCCACGGAGGGCCTGGGTCCGCTGGAGTGACCCTGAACAGCCCGTGTGCCCTTCCTGCCTCGCACGAGGGACCCAAAAGATGAGTTGCCTAGCCTCCCCTTCTTCCTGCTTTCTCCCAGGCACAGGATGCAGACACTCCTGGGCACCGTGTTGGCCTATGTGTGCAGATGAGCAAACACACACACCTGGGGGGTGTCCTGAGCCTCGGACCCCCTGAGCCTGGTACCCCTGCCTGCCAGGGAGCAGAGCTACAGATTCCTGAACCCTGAGGGAGTAGAGGGTCTGGCCTGGCCTGAGCAGTGCCTGCCTTGGTGAGGGTGTGCTTGCGTGTGTAGGATGTGCACACATGTGTGAGTGCACATGTGTGTGTGGCTCTCTGAGTCAGTGTCCTTTCTGCATGTCTAGGGGGCACCATCCCTTTCTTCCCAGTCCCCCTGCTCCCAACCCTGAGCAGAGCTACTCGCTTAAAGCTGAGCCGTGCCCTATTTAGCCCCTGGGCCCTCAGGGGAGCACAGGGTGAGAGAGGTGCTCCCCTTCCTCCAGGGACTCCTCACTCACGGGGAGCCTGTGGTGACTGTGGGGGAGGACATGGGAGGCGGACACACACCAGGGTGGGTACACAGTGTGGTGCCCCGTGGTGCCCCTGATCCACTGGAGTTGTGATGCCCACAGAAGGGGCAGCTCCATCAGGCCTGGGCACCCCGGGAGCACCCTGAGCCTTGGGATGGGGTGTGAGGGTAAATGGGGGGGCACTACTGAGGGATAGAGCTAAGGAACCAGATGCTTCCTCCAGGGGGGTTGTGGCCTGGGTCAAGGTCAGGACAGCACCAGGGAAACTCCTGCCACCTGCTCCCCGAAGCCCCATGCTGCCGCTGCTGTCCAGAATTGACTCAGCACTCACTCCATGCCAGCCACCAACATGGACAGCTCCTTTAATGCCCAGTGCCCATCCTTGTCACGGACAGGTAAGTACCCCATGGCCAAATGGGTAGGAGATTGTGGAGCCTGGCACTCACACTGCAGAGATGCCAAACTCTGGCCAGCTGCCTCCCTCCCTAGGGCCTGCCCCACGGGGAGACAGTGAGGGGAATCCACAAAGCCTGGGGTCACTGGATCCCCCTGGCTGGCACCTAGCTTGTGCCCCCATTAGCACGGAGAGGAGGCAGTAAAACAAACACTCCTGACTGTTTACCCCAATGTCTTGGGGCCATAATTAAGCTTCTTATCAGCCCGGTATCTTGAGCAGCCTCTGAAGGGGAAACATCCCGGAGCATCTAACGAAGGAAAGTTGGATGCCTTTTTAGACTTTTTAAATCCTGAAGAATAGGCCTTTGTTGCCAGCTCCCCGCCTGTGGCAACCTGCCTGGTCTCTGGATTCTGCCGGCTGCCCCAGGGGCAGGGGCAGGACCAGGCGGCCCCAGTCCTGGCACCCTAGCCCTACTGGGCTGAGTCCCCAGGCCCTGCCCACCAGCTGGCTCCTCCAATGGCAGGGGCCCTGCTGGCCGGCGGTGGGGTCCTGAAGGCACTCCCTCCTCTGCCCTCAATGCTCCACCTCACCTTGCCAGATGCCAACATTCGCCCTCAGCGGGCACCCTTGCCAGCCTGGGTCAAACCCAGGTGGTGGGTGGGGCTGGTGGTGAAGGGTGAGCTCTGATTGCCCACAGCCCCCCATCACCTGGTTCTACACTCTCCCAACCAACCAGGTCTCTCCCAGCCTCTGAGCTTTCTGAAGCTGTTCTCGCCACTTGCAATGCTTGTCCCTGCTCTTTCCCCATGGACAATTTCTACTTACATTTTAAGACTTAGCTTGGGCCAGATGTGGTGGTTCGTTCCTATAATCCCAGAACTTTAGGGAGGCTGAGGGGGGAAGACTGCTGGAGCCCAGGGAGACTGGCCTGGGCAACATAGTGAGACCCTGTCTCTACAAAAAATTAAAAAATTAGTCAGATATGGTGGTGCATGCTGTAGTTCTAGCTATTTGGGAGGATGAGGTGGGAGGACTGCATGAGCCTGGGGATTCCAGGCTGCAGTGAGCTATGATCACACCTCTGCACTCCAGCTTGGGCAACAGAGTGAGGCTGCCTGCTTGCCCGCCCACCCACCTGCCTCCCTCCTGGACAGGTAAGTACCCCATGGCCAAATGGGCAGGAGGTGGTGGAGCCTGGCACCGTGTGTGGGCCCAGCTCACACGTGATCGAGGTAATCAGGGAGCAGGGTGGCAAGGACCTGGGCTGGATTTGGCCTGGGGACTGTAGTTGGCTGATTCCTGGTGCAGAGTAAGAATCAAATATATGTTTCTCCACCTGGTCCAGAGCCAGCCGGGTCAGTCCTGCCCCAGGGCCCCAGCAGCTGCTCGGAGGAGGCAGAGTCACTCTATCCCAAGTGGAGGGCACAAATGAGTGAACAAACTCACCTACTATCTAACCAACTAACCAGTTAACTAAGCCCTTATCTCCTGGACTCAGAGTTACCCCCACCTCCTCTCTGTTTTTTATTTTATTTTACATTTTTTAAGATGGGGTCTAACTGTGTTGCCCAGGCTAGAGTGCAGTGGCGGGATCATGGCTCACCGCACCCTGGGCTCATGAGATCCTCCTGCCTCAGCCTCCCAAAGAGGTGGGATTACAGGTATGAGCCACTGTGCCCAGTCCTCTGGGCTTCTCTAGGCCCAACTGACCCCTTGCCCTCTGACCTATCTCACTGCCCTCTGGCCAGGCCTCTCATCACCCCCTCAACCTGCCCAAGGTGGTGGGAACCTCAAGAGAAGCCCACTGAGCACTGGAAGCTGCTGCTGGCCATTCACTACTGATGCGGGGTGACCTGGCCTATAGCCTGGTACAGGCTAGCAGAGGAGCTGGGTATCCCTCAGGGCTATGTGTGATGGGAAGGACACTTTGGGGCTGGGAAGGGCATCTGGCTGCACCTGGGATGGGGAGGGGTTGGCTAGGCAGACAGAGGAGACATTCCAGGCAGCGGAATGTCCTAGGCAAAGGTGCAGAGGCAGGGGCTGGTAGAGTCTGGGTCTCTGTAAATCCAGGACACTAGAAACAGGGGGCTCCTCACCGTGTAGGGCCAGAGCCAGGGCAGAGCTAAGCCCACCAGGAGCAAAGGCTGTGGCTCTACATTCCCATCCTAGCACCCAATGCATGCAACTGGACTGCCTGCATGGTATGGGCCAGGAGGACCACAGGAGGCCCCCACATCCCACTCCCAGATCGCCAAAATGTGAATTTCCTAACATTGTCGTGTGTCACAAAATACTATCATTCTTTAGATTCTTTTTTCCAAAATATCTGGGCAGGACATGGCTTTGGGCAAGCCGGACATGTGGCCATTCCTATTTCCGACTTGCATTTGGGTTCTTCAGCATTGCCCTCTCTCCATCATTCATTCACTCTACAAACGCTGGTCCTTGGTGCGGATGACCAGCCAGACAGGCCCCTTCCAGGCTGCGAATGAGACAGACATGGTGCTTGCCCTTATGGAACTGGCAGTCCAGCAGAGATGACGGCTGATGATAGGTACAGTGCCACTTCAGAGCACAAGAGGTGCCTGCAATGCTATACACCTGGGCGGGGACCAGGGGTGGCTTCAGGAAGGCCTCCCTGGGGAGGGGCTGTGGATCTTAATGAAACCTCAACAAGGAAAAGGACCAGCCAAGGAAGACTCAGTGGGAGCTGCCATGCGATGTCCTGGAGGCAGGAGGCAGCCGCTTGAGGGACAGAAAGGAGCCCCCGCAGTCAGGGGAGGTGCAGAGTACTGAGGTCCGGTGTTGGGTGGGTGGCTAGGAGTGCCTTGCAGAATTCATGGGGTGGCCGCAGGCAGAAGAGGCTGGAAAGCCTTTGGGGGCTGGGCCAGGAATGCGATCTGATTGACATTGTAAGGATCCCTGGCTGCTGTTGAGAGGCTGAGGGTGGGACCCACAGGGCGGGAGGCCACTGCTCCTGGGAGGCTGCTGTGTGGCTAGGGGCCGGATCTCCTGCTGGAGCAGCAAGGAAGGCTGGGTTGGACGTGGGCGGTGGGCGGGCCCCGGGACTGCTGCTCTTGGCCTGGTTCTAGCGTTGGGGCCGCGGGGGAGCCGTGTGTGGGCACGTCCCATGCTGCCCCCCCACCACTGCCCCAGAGATGCAGCCACGGGTAGGCTGGCTCCCCTGGGCCCAGCTCACACGTGGTGGAGGTGATCAGGGAGCAGGGAGGCAAGGATCTATAGGGCCCTGAGGCCAGCCCAGAGGACAGACAGCTCCCCTGCCAGGCCCTTGTTCATTCATTCCCCCACTTCCTAAGGTGAGGCCACTGTGAGCCAGACACAGCCCTACCCCAGGGGCCAGCGGGAAACCAGTGTCCGTCTCTGGTCCAGGGCCAACCCCAACATGGGTGTCCCCTACCGCAGCAGGGCTACGGGAAACTTCCAGCCCCAACTCCAGGCCAGCCAGGCTCTGAGGGAGTCTGAGGCTGCCTCTCCTCCGCCAGGTTCCTGTTTCCCCAGTGGCCCCAAAGACAGAAGATGGTGTGAAGTTCAAGGGCTCAGTCCCAGTTTCGGATTTCCTGGGCGTGTCAGATTTCCTGGGTGCTGCGTGGCTGCTGTCTGCAAGGGAGGCCACTGAATAACGTAAAGGCCACTGGGAAAGCATAGCAGTGTGCAGCGGGTGAGTGTGTGTGTGTGTGTGTGTTTCTGTGTGGGGTGGGGCGTGACTCACACAGGCCTGGGCTTCATGATGTCTCCTGGGAGCAGGAAGGGCTGTGTGAGTCTGTGTGAGTCTTCGTGTGCATGTATGTGCATGTGCATGTACCCATATGACGAGCACGTGTATGAGTACACACAGTTGGTGCAGGTGTACCTGTGTGTCTGTGCACATGTGTGTGCCTATGTCTGAGCGTGTGTGCATGTGGTTATGAGTGTGTCTGTGGGCACACATGTGACTACAGTGTGTGTGACTGTGCACATGGGTGTGTATGTGTGTACCACCCTTTTTGGCCTGCACTCCTGGGGCCTCTTTTCCTCCTCCACCGGCCTCCTCGGCAAGTGTTGACTCAGGGAGGGACAGGCAACCTGGGTTCAGGATTTCCTGGTCAGGTGGAAGTGGTTTCTTGAAAAGAGATCAATTTTGTGCTAAAGTGGACGCAGAGAGTCTGCACAGTACAGTGCTCTCTAGGGCCCCCAAGGCCGAGAGGCCTCGTGCCTGCCTTGCCTGTGTCTACAGTGTGGGGTCCCAGAAAGCCTTTGCCCCTGGCATGACCCACAGGACATGCCCTCAGACCTTTTCTAAATGCTCCCCGAACTAGGCTGCCTGGGGTTGGGGCTCCAAAGCAGGACACTCCTCTGACTGCTGTGGAGGCAGGGACATCAGCCCTGCAAGACATACCCCAAAAGAAAGCGGGCCCCTCAGGATCCCCAGGCACTAGATGTCCCAGGTTCCCTTCCACAGTAGGCAGCTTTACCCCTGTATCACCCATCCCCCAAAGCCTTAACAATTAAAAATGAAGCTTTTGGAGGCTGAGGGTTGATTAAAGTTCGAAGAGCTCTCTGCCATGTGGGGCAGGGTGGGCGAGGGGAGCCTTCCAGAAGCACTGCCCCTCTCCAGGGCTGGGAGGACTGGCCTCACGGGGCATTCCTGAGAAATGTAGCATCTTATTTGGCACCCACCTGCCACATCCACATCTGGGCTGTACCAAGGTCCCCCAGAGGAACCACTGTCCCTGAGAGACATTGTGTGAGCCCAGGGCCCCCACACAGCAGCCACTTACTGTGCAAATGCTAGGCCCTCCCCACCCCACCACTTGGATTCCTCCCGGTGTGGCCCTGGGTCTTGGGACAGGCAGAGGGCACAGCTGCCCTGGGGCAGCGAGGTTGAGGCGGGTGGGGAGGCAGCATGGCCACCATGTCCTTGTCCCCTTGCTCCATTGGGTGCTCCCTTCTCCAGCCTGGAGCTTCAGGCCTAATCCCCAAGAAAAAACAGTGGTTTGCAGCCTAAAAGTTGCTAATGCGATGGTGGCTCCTCTGCCAGCACCCGGTCCTTGGAGAGGAAACATGCTCTTCCCCGGGGCGTGGGGAGCTCCTGTCTCAGCTGGTTATAGGGATGACGGAGACGCAGCTGAGTGGCACGGAGCTATGCTATCCCACCCAGGTCAGAGACCCCAAAGGGGTCCCCAAGATCCTCTAGCACAGACCACTCAACTCAGGCCTAGGCAGCCTGTCCCACTGCAGATACGACCCCAACCCCCCCAGCCCCGAGTGCTGCCACCAAACTTGTCCCCTGCCAGTGACGTGGACAAGACCAACCCCTCGCACCCACTGGGACTCTTCTCCTGCACAACGTCCCTGTCCTCACTGCCGCTTCTGCCCGTCCCCTCCCTGCTGGGTGTGACACCCAGAAACCAGGCTGTGGGAGGCAAACATGGGGCTTCCTTGAAGAGCTTCAGACCCCCATTCTTGCCTTGGTGCCTCTGGGATCCTGACATAGGCCTTCCCTGAGCTGGGAAAGAGGCCGGTTGCAGGGTGGCAGGGACCCACAGGAGCATGGAGGCCCTGGGGTTGCAGAGAACGCGGTGTCCTCTGAAGCATGCCTGGGTCCCCCTGGTCCGGGTGGCAGTGGGGTGCAGCGCCTGTGCTCTGGGTGCCGGCCCCCACCATGCTGGGTGGCCATGAGTGGGGCTGGCTGGGCGGCCATTAATGATTAACCTGGGGCCTGGGCCTTGACCTCATGGGCCTCTGAGTAAACAGGCCTGCTGGAGCCTGCTGGGCCCCTCGTGGCCTCTCCGCCCCCTGCCCTCTCCTGCCCTCCTGGTCCTGGCCTCCCTCCCCCTCCTTTGCTGCTGAGCTGGAGCAGTGGCAGGTGGTCTGGACTCGCTGGCCTTTCTCACTGCCACCCTGGATCAGCCACCACTGATTCCTGCCTTCTCTTTGCAGACTTTGAGGGGGGCTCCTCCTTCCTGGACTGGGGCTTGCCCACTGCGTGGTCTCAAGCCCTGGCCTCAGGGGCTTGTTGAGACGGACCGCATGGAGCATGCTATGTAGACAGCCAGTCCTGTCTACATAGCATGCTCCATGGCCTGTGTTCCAGCTCCAGCTCTGGTCTCATCATCTGTGTGACCCCTAGACGGCACCCTGTCTCTCTGGGCCTCAGTTTCCCCATCTGCACAGTAAAAAATAGAGCGGGAATCCCACAGCTTTCTAGCTCCAGAATTCTAGACACCAGTCTGGTTTGGAGTGAGACTGAGGATAGGAACAACACATGTCCCCACCTTGCCCCAGGGGACTCCCCACAGAGTCACTGGAGTTGGCCTCCACGTTCCTGGCTGCCTCACTCATTTCCTTCTTCTGGGACAGCCCCCTCTTCACCCCGTGTTCCCTTGGAGGACTAGCTCTCAAGCTCTCAGACCCCAGGCTTCAGGCAGGGCGGCCCCTGCCTGGGGCGCTGGAAGTGGGTCATGTGACCTGGGCCTGGCCGATGGGTGTCTGCTCTGAGACTTTTGCAGGAAATACTGAGAAAACGTCATTTTCTCTTCTCTGGCAAAGCAGGAGAATGAGCCCCAAGGCTATCTTGCTGGGCACAAAGGAAAGGATTGCTGAGAGACCAACACGGGTTTTGACAACAGAGTCCCAGCTGTGCCTGAACTGGCACCTTCTGGACTTTTCCATGACAAGAAGCCGTGGATTCCTTTTCTGCTCAAACCAGTGAGAGCTGGGTCTCCTCCCTGATTCACACATTCACACACTGGACTCACACCATGAAGGGACAGATGCCACAAATGCACAGTTGTCAGGGTTGCACACACATGGCTAAACATCTGCAGAGAAAATGTGAGTAACAGGGCTGGGGAGGAAACCCAGCTGGCCGCACTGGGCCGGGGTGGCGGAGGTGGGAGAGTAGGGGCCCAGGGTGCCAACCCAAGCTCTCTCCTTGTCACCTCACCCACCATTCACCCATCATTCCCATATCCAGAACCCTCAGCCAGCCGTCGAGGATGATGGGTGAATGGCAGCTGAGGCAGGCAGGCTGAAGCTCATTGGCTAGGGACGGAGGTGAATGCTCCTATTTGCCCGTGTGCACACATTCACAACCATGCTGAGCTTTGCATGCAAGAAACACACTGTGGCCCACTCGGGAGCTCTTTCATTTTCTTCCTACTGCAGAGGTCTGAAGCTGGGATAGGGGTCTCTGGTCATTCAGGCTCTCCCCCAGCCTGGGACTGTGCGGTTCCTGGGAGCTCAAGGACCACCTGGGTGGGGGCAACCCAAGAAGAGACTGCCTCTTCTGCTCCATTGTGGGATAGGAGGGTTACCAGGGCCAAGTGCTGGTCTCATGGGGCTGGAATCGGGGAGAGGCTTTGTTCTGGAGCTCAGACTGCCTTTATGACACCAGGTAGTCCATGGTCCTGGATGCAGATGGCTTCAGGCATATTGCACACACCACACGCACATGTAGACACACATACGCACGTGAACACGCAGACACGGCTATCTTGTGTGAGCTCTGGGGATGGAAAAGGAGGCCTTTCTGTGGACAGAGGACAAGGGTGGCAGAGGAAGCCTCAGACCTCCTGGGAAGGCCCCACCCCACAGCCTGGCTCCTATCAGGCTACTTGGGCTCTGGCCTGGGGAAGGCCCTCAGCCAGCAGCAGGAACAGCTGGATCGGGTGTCTAGAGATGACCCTGGCTCCCTGCTCCTGGCTAGAAGCCCTTCCCCCAGAGCCCTGTCCTCCCCTCCTGCTCCTCTTCCTCTCCCTGCCTTGCTTTTGGAATTTCAGGCCACATCCTATTCCTCTTTCTTTTTCTTATCTTTTTTTGTAGAGATGGGTCTTGATATGTTGCCCCGACTGGCCTCCAACCCCTGGCCTCAAGGGATCCTCCTGCCTCTGTCTCCCAAAGTACTGGGATGACTCTCTCTGACTCTGCTTCCTTCTCTCTCTGTTAGTCCCAGTTTCTGTCTCTCTAATGGGTTATCCCAGGAGAGGGACAAGTCTCAGGCCTCAGGGCTTAGGCCCCCGGCCACTGGGCTGGGCCTTCCTCTTTCTGCTGTCTGTCCCCTGCCCTGCTTCCTTACTCTGGCCAGAGCCGACTTGCCCTTTGCACTGGAGCTTCGGTACCTCTGGCTGTGGGGGAACTGATGGCCTCACCTCCCCCACCCCCTGCAGCCCCTGCTCCTCCCCATAGGAGTCCAGGAGTCTGGCCAGAGAGTTGGGCCCTGGGGAGGCCACACAGCCAGGACGCTTGTCCTGGCCCCAGGCAGAACCCTTGCCCTGGCCACAGAGCCACACCAGCCAGGTCAACTCTGTCCTCTGAAATCCTTGGAGACTAGGGCAAGCCCCCTCCCCGGGACAGCTTCAAACTCCCACTCACCTCCAGGTTGGGAAAACTGACCCCCAACCCAGGGCAGGAGGCAGGGGGAGGGAGGATGTGGAAGCTAGCCAGCCATGTAGGGGGAAGGACGACCCTGCACCCTGTCATTTCCCTCACAGGGTGAGGCCCCAGGGAATAGCCTGCCCTGGCAGGGGAATGAGAAGCAGGGGCCGTTTCCCAGCTGTGGAGTGTGCTGGGTGGGAGCAGACACGGGCGTCTGTGGGGGTGGGGGAGCCCTCCCTGCCTAGGCAGTCAATTGTCTGGGGCTAACACTTCCCACATTCTTATTCTCTTTTCTTTTCTTTTTCCTTCCTTCCTTCCTTCCTTCTTTCTTTTTTTCTTTTCTTTCTTTCTTTCTTTTCTCCCTCCCTCCCTTCTTCCCTTTCCTCCCTCTCTTCCTCCTCCCTTCCTCCCTCCCTTCCTTCTTTTTTCTTTCCTTCTTCTTTTTTTTTTTTTTTTGACAGAGTCTCACTGTTGCTCACGCTGGAGTGCAATGGCATGATCTGGACTCACTGCAACCTCCACCCCCCGGGTTCAAGCGATTCTTCTGCCTCAGTCTCCCAAATAGCTGGGATTACAGGCGTGCGCTGCCACATCTGGCTAATTTTTTTATATTTTTAGTAGAGATGGGGGCTCTCCATGTTGGCCAGGCTGGTTTCGAACTCCTGACCTAGGTGATCCACCCGCCTTGGCCTCCCAAAGTGCTGGGACTACAGGTTTGAGGCACCGTGCCAGGCACTTCCCACGCTCTCACTGCATTCACCGCTGTCATCCAGGCCAGAGTCTGCCAGTGCCTGCCTCCAGGAAGCCCTCCACAAGAGGGAGGAGCCTGAAGGAGCCGGCCTTCTTCCCCACCATGCACCTGACGTGGGCTTGCCCTCACCGCACTGATTAGGCTGGAAGTCATGGGGACAGGGTCAGCCTTCCCACTTCTGGAAGACCCCACCTGTCACCCAGACTGCCTGAGGCTCAGGGCTGCGTTGGAAATGTGGCCTTTCCATCACAGAGTCTGGGGCAAGGCCTGACTTCTGATCACCCTGGGTTGCTGTTTGAGCAAGTCCCCTGGGAAGAATTCCTCAGGCCTCACTGAACCCAGTGCTGCTATTGCGACAGCAGACAACCTGGGGCGATGTCCCTGGGAGCTGGAGAATGGGCAGGAGGCTCCAGCATTGTCAGCTGCCTGGGTGTGCGGTTCTGTGTGGTGTCTACCTGCTGCCTTCCTCTCTGGGTACCTCCAATGATAGCTGGGAGGGGCCACCTCTAAGGGTTGTGAGCACTTGAATGAGGCAATGTGGGCAAGTGCCTGGCCTGCTGCTTGGCACACACTGAACCCTCAATCAATGTAGCTGTCAGCCCTGCTCAGGCCAGCAGGGTCGTGAGGACTGGAGGATCCAGGTCACCTCTGCAGACCCCAGCAAGGCCTGCTGCTGGCCAAGGGGAAGGCTGGGATTAAATCTTCACCTTCCTGGCCCCCAGAATCCAAAAGGCACAAATGTGCACTTGCATACATCACACATACACTCACACACACATATATACACACATATACACACATACACATACACACATATACACACATACACCTACACACACCTACACACATACACAATACACACACATATACACACATACACACATACGCACATATACACACATACACAATACACACACATATACACACATACACAATACGCACACATATACACACATACACAATACACACACATATACACATACACATACACAATACACAGATACACACACTACACACATATATACATGCACACATATACACATACACATACACACATACACAATACACACATATATACATACACATACACAATACACACATATATACATACACATACACAATACACACAGAGACACACATACACGTACACACATACACACATATACATATAACATAAACACATATACACATAAACAATAAATACATACATACACATGCACACAGACATACATATACACATACACACACATACACAATACACACCTAGACACACAACACACACACACCTGGCTTAGCTCCCCAGGACCCAACCACCTGCTGGAAAACCAAGAGCTGCCTCTTCAAAAGGATGATTAAGAACCAGCCTTGACTACTCAAACTGAAACTCCAAACCCTTCTCTGGAGTACTCAGCTCCTCTGGAGCCTGTGGGCGAAAAGCTCTTACCATAGTGGAAAAAATATTCTGCCGAAACGGAAGTCTTCCTCAGTTTAGCTGAGTCATTTTCTTGTGGTTAAGGAAGTCCAGGTTATCTCTGGCCCTTCCCCTGCTGCCCATGGTCTAGCCAGCCTGGGGGACCCCAGTCCACCCTCCCGTCCTGGCAGGGGACATGCCCATCCCAGTGAACTACAGGACCCTTAATTGTAAGTCACCCCACTCACCCCAGGCTGCTTCCCACAGCTGTTTCCTGTGCTCAAGTGGGAATCCGGAGCCCTGAGAACCAGGATCCAGGGTCAGCCGTCACCAGGTCACCAGGGCAACTCCTACAGCCCTGGGGTCTGCCTGTGTTTCCTGTTGGGGATGGTGGCACCTTGAGGATAGAGGCCTTGTGGATTGACACTGTACCCGTGTGTCCCCATCTCAGGCAGCTCTTAGCACGTGGCAGGTTTCAGGAGCCCAGTCTCCCAGCATACATGGCTCACAGACCACCCCAAGGAGCAGATAGCTTGTGATGAGTTCCCAGTGAATGGGCAGTAGAGGGGGCGGGCGCCAGGTCCTGCTTAGCTCTTGGACCCAGTGGGGCTCATGGCAACCAGGGATGCAGCCTCAATTTCATTTTGTATCCCAGGAGCCTGAGCCTGCAGGCTAAGGCACCTGGCCCAGGTGTGGCGGAGTCCTGCCCAGTCCGGGCTTCGGCTGGATGGAGGCTGGTGCTGGAGGCAGCCTGGTGCTGGAGGCAGCCTTCTCCCTGGGAGATCCTTTGGAAGCTGCCAGGGGCCATTGTGGGGGAAGATGGAGAGATGACAGGGTGGGCCACCTGAGTGGTGTGGGGAGAACCTTGAAGATGCCACATGGCAGCAGTTGCAGGTGGGGTGGGGAGGCCAGCTCTGTGGGTGCTGCATTCTCCCCGTGCAGCCACACCGTGTGCCAGGAACCAGAGACCCCCTGGGCTGTGCCTTCCACCCTTGCCCTCCTCCGGCTGAATCCTGGGCTACCAGAGAGGCAGCAGGAGACAGGGCAGGCCGCTTTTCTGAGCTCAGACTTCCGATCAGCTGACGGGGGTCACGTGCTGTCTGGGCTCGCCTGGGGCCTGAGAAATGGGGATGCGGGCCGCCCTGGCCAGGGCTGTTAGGGAAATTCAAGGAATGAAAGTCAGAGGGAGTCAGGAGGCCACGACTCAGGGTGTGCGCAGGGGCACTGAAAGCCCTGCCGGATGTGGGGGATAAAGGACCGCCACATGTCACTTGTGGGGTCTCAGGGTGGCCGGGGGGTGGGGTGGGGCTCAGGGCTGCTCTTAGCTGGGGAGGGCAGTGGCTAGCAAGGTCTGGGGCTGAGTGAATGAGGCCAGGCTACACGGCTGCCCTTGTCTCAGGGTTTGGAGAGCCAACAGCCGGACTTTACCTGCGTCCCTGGAAGCGAACTGGCGAGACTGACGGGCACTGGAGGGGCCCTCGTGGGACCTGGAACTCAAAGGATCGGGTTCCCTGAAGCCTGGACTTGCTTGCAGGACCTCTCTCAGTGGCCAGCAGGCACCGCCAGCTGGGTCCTGCGGGCTGCACTGCCCGTCGACTCCAGAGTCCTTCCACACCCACTTGGACTGGGTCCTCCCGGGGCTCTGGTAGCCAAGGTTTGGGAAATTAGGTGAGGGGGCCCTGGGACGAGGGTAAGGAAAGGAACAATCTATGTCCAAAAGTCATCTAGAAATTTTCAGCATTTCTTTTTTATTTTTCAAAACAAAAGCTCTACATGTTGGGGTGGGGGGTGGTGGTGGACCTAGCTTTGTGGGAAGTGAGTCAGACGGCCATAAAATGTGTTTTTCTGAGCCGAGGGGATTATTTTACATCTTGTGGCATGGAGCTGCCGGGAGGGAGCCCTCCTCCTGGTCCCTGGTGGGGCTGCTTGCTGCTGGGCCAGGCTGAGTCTCAGCACTGATCTCCTTTCTTGAGATGGGGGCTCCTGCCCGTCCAGGACACCTCCCCAGGCCTTCCCCTCTCTGACCTCACATCCCATTCTTTTAGGCAAGAGTGAGGCTGGGAAGGTCGTGGCCTCATGGTGGGGCCTAGTATTGGCTGTGCCATCTCAGTGAATCTGGGTAAAGTAGGCCTTGGGAACCCCCCAACCCCTCGTCTAATGGACAGGCTAATGGCAGGGGACCACCTCCTAGAGCAGCCACCAGTATGAAAGGAAAGACTTGAGAACATGCCTGGCAGGCCGTCAGGGCTCGGCCAGTGAGTACCCTCCCACCTTCAAAGAGCATCCTTGAGTGCAGGAGAATAAATAAAGGGCAAGAGGGGCAACTGGGCTCTGTGGGGACCCTTCCCAAAGCCAAAGGTGCAGGAGTCATTCCCTAACCTCCACTGTCACCAGCATCCTTTCCACCACTGCCTCACCGTGGTCCCAGGGAGAGGACACTGCCTCCACCCCAGGGACTGGAGACCGCAGAGGGGCTAGGGTCAGGGACTCCAGATGCCCATTGGGACAGGACCTGGTGGCTTCAGGGGCCTCAGGGTACAGATCCCCCCACCCAAGACAGGGACTGGGTGGGAGCCATAGGGAGAGCTCTGCCTGGAGCCTCTCGTGCCCTCTGCCTCTCTGAGGCTGCTGTCCATGGCCATATGTGTCCCCTGAAGCCCTGCCTCCCTGGGCTGGAGTCACAGGCCCCATCAATAGTCTGGGGTCCAAGGGCCCACACTACCTGTGAAGAGAAACCCTTGGTAGCCTGAGGCCGGCAGAAATCGGGAAGAAATCTGGGGCCCAAACCACTTCCAGAAGCCCACTACCCTTCTCTTGAAGCAGCAGTAAAGAGATGTCCCTGAGTCCTCCCCACTCACTATGTCACCACTTCTTCCTGGGACCACGGCCAGGCATAGTGGACACCCACTGTTTCACCTGTCTCAGCATCCATTTCTTTCCTTCCAGCCAACACATGGATTTTCCTCAGAGAACCTCCTTCTCTCATGCTCATTACATGCAGTGTGGCTGGGGCTGAGCCCCCAAACTGTGTGTGTGTGTGTGTGTGTGTGTGTGTGTTGGAGGTGTGGGATAAGGACTTGACTCAGGATTGACCAATCAGCATCTTCCATGCTCCTGGATACAGTGGCTGGTTCAGTAATGAGCCCATGGTCCAACAGCATCAGTTCTGGGATTTTCCATGGAATTAATCAGACATGGAAGCTCTAAGGCTGGGCGCAGTGGCTCAAGCCTATAAACTCAGCACTTTGGGACGCCAAGTCAGACAGATCACTTGAGGACAAGAGTTCGAAACCAGCCTGGCCAACATGGCAAAACCCTATATTTACTACAAATACAAAAATTAGTCAGGCGTGGAAGCACATGCTTGTAATCCCAGCTACTCGGGAGGCTGAGGCATGAGAATAGCTTGAACCCAGGAGGTCAAGGTTGCAGTGAGCTGAGATTGCATTGCTGCACTCCAGCCCAGGTGACAGAGCTTTCTCTCAAAAGAAAGAAAGAAATGGGAGCTCTAGTCTAAGTTTCTGAGTGTCCGTTTGGAAGCTTTGAGTCACTGGGAATCCCCAACAGATGGCTGAAGCCAGTGCAAAGGATGGCAAAACCAGGATATGGAATGAGAGAGGACTCCAGATGACACAGTCTGGGCTCCTGGATCCAGCCATGCCCGAGGATGAATCCTGATTGTTTTCCTCATTGCACCTGGCGCTTTTCCTGAATCTCCATCCAGAGGCAGCACTTTAGGAGAGATGTGCCAGTGTCATGTGCCCTCCTCTGTTCAGGCTACTTGAGCTGGGATCCTGTGTGTATTTGTAAGCCATTTACCGAGAGCTAGAACCCGTGTGGTACAAGGGACTGGTCAGGACAGCCAGCACACCGCTGAGCTCACCAACCACAGGAGCTGGATATGTGGGTAAGAATGGGAGTCAGGAAGCTCCACACAAAGGCATCTCCTGGCGGTGAGTTTGGGAGAAGACTTCATGGGAAGTAGCTCATGATTTTCCAATTATTAAACCTAGAAAAAGAACCAGCAGAACGTTATCTTCACCTTCATATTTCTGTCTGTCCAATGGGCACCTTGACACGTCCAGGGCACCGAGTTGTGCAGAACTGGTTAATATTGTCAGACATCTGCTTTCCTAACACTGGAACATAAGCTCCCGATGGCAGAACTCCTGCAAAACGTGCCTCTGACACTGCTGTGTCTCCAGCTAAGGAGAGCTCTCGGTGCTCAGTGAATACTTGGTGAATGAGAAAAGGGGTGATTCTCTCAAAACACTCAAATGTCTTCCCATTGCAGCTAAAACATAAAATCTAGACTTCTTGCTCTGCCCTGTAAACAGAGTGACTGTGTCACTTGTTGAACAAGCAGGGGCATTTTTTTTTTTGCAGGCCAAAGGGAATGCTACCAATCAGGCTGAAACAATGGGAGTAACCTGGCATTGTTCCAGGCAAAGTGGGTTGCATGTCTTCCCCAGCTCCAAGACCCCCAAAATACTGATCCCTGTCCCAGTCTTCAGCCTCACTTTCTGCCCCTCCCTGTCATGGGTCACACTGACCCTTCATCAGAGCTTTGCACTGTCTGTTTCTCTATCTGGAGAAGTCCTTTGAGTGACTCGGTCTTTTCTGGCACCTCGGTTTCCACTGCACACCACCTTCTCAAAGAGTTCTTTTCTGACCACCCATCCTCACCCAGGAAGCCTCTACCAAGAGGCTGTGTTTCCTGTTCCTCATTGCACTGGGCTCTATGTAGGCAGGCAGGGAGTGAGCGCTAAATTTCAGGACACAGCTCCCAAGCCTCTGTCATCCTCTGAGTAGGTGCTTGCGTGCCCAGCACGTGTCTTCAAAGGGAAAGTGAAGTGAAGCCAGTATCAGTGCAGAAGTGGGGTGGGAGGGGTGGGAGGGAGGGAAATACAAGGAAAAGACAAGAAGGAACGAAGCCTGTGGCAGGGAAGCCAAGGAACAGCTCTATGCACAGCCTCAAAACCAGTGAGTTCACTCCAGAAATCACATGCACTTTGACCTCAATCACTGGGGTGCCTCTTATTTATTTATTTATTTATTTTATTGCACTCTTGTTGCCCAGGCTGGAGTGCAATGCCGCAATCTTGGCTCACTGAAACCTCCATCTCCTGAGTTCAAGCGATTCTCCTGCCTCAGCCTCCCAAGCAGCTGGGATTACAGGTGCCTGCCACCACACCTAATTTCTGTGTTTTCAGTAGAGACGGGGTTTCGCCATGTTGGTCAGGCTGGTCTCGAACTCCTGGCCTCAAGTGATCCACCCTCCTTGGCCTCCAAAACTGCCAGGATTACAGGGGTGAGCCTCCATACCTGGCCTGGGACACCTCTTTTAAGACCTGTTTGGAAACAGCATTTGAATGTAGTTTGCAAAGCCTCCCCTTTGCCCGCCCGACGGCTGGAATTTTTGTAGACATATGCAGGGATTGTGCAGCCAGAGAGGTCACCACATACGTTTCTCATTTTCCTGATTTTCTCTGTCCTTGCTGCTCTTGGGGCTCTGTAACATTGTCCCAGCTGTGTTTGTCACTTTGCTCTGGCTCTCCATGAACACCTGTGGGCGTTTGTTTATAGAATGTAGACACCACCCCTTTGGCTGCCACGAGGGACTAGCACCCCTCCAAGATGCCCAGACAGATTTGCTTCTCTGCCTTCTTCCTTTTTTTTTTTTTTTTTAGACAGACAGGGTCTTGCTCTGTTGCCCAGGCTCACTGCAACCTCGGCCTCCTGGGCTCAAACAATCCTCCAACCTCAGCCTCCCAAGTAGCTGGGACTACAGGCATGTATTATCATGCCCAGCTAAGTTTTGTATTTTTAGTGGAGACAGGGTCTCACCATGTTGCCCATGTTGGTCCCGAGCTCATGGCCTCAAGTCGTCCGCCCACCTCATCCTCCCAAAGTGCTGGGATTACAGGGGTGAGCCATGGCACCCGGCCTTCTCTGCTTTCTTTAAAGCTAAAGAACTGGAGTAGCAGGGATCACGCAGGGTCCTGGATGAAACCAAACTCACCCCTGATGATTCCGATAAAGGGATATTAACCAAGGGGCTAGTTTATGGAGGCGTGAGCAGGGATAAGGGAATGAGGATGGGATGCTGAGGCCACCAGAAGCTGGCCATGGCAGCTGTCATCACCACCTGCCAGGCTGAAGGGGCGAGGCGAGGAATCGGTGCTACTGGAGCCCTGTGTAGGGTGGAGAACAGGCCACCTGACAGGGGCTGTAGTCTTGGGGGTGCAGATGAGGCACGGACGTAGGAGAGAGCGAAGAAGACACCGCAGCCTCTCTCTCCTTCCTCTGTCTGATTTCCTGCTGGTGCCGCCCATTGGCCAAACCCAACAGGAAGCCAGACGGCATGGGAGGCCCTAAGTGTGGCCTGCACAGAGCAGACTCCAGGGCCCGGGGCAGGATGTAGAGGGGATGGGGACAGAGAAACAGCACAGGCGGGTAAGGCAACCAGGAAAAAGTCTATGCTCAGTCTTGGGGCAAATCCTGCTTTTCCGTGGCCCCATCCACCTCTAGCCACAGAGCTTTCTCACTGAGCTGACAGAGTTCCCTTTAGCAGCCACAACCCATGCTCCAAACACCAGCAGAGTGATTCTAATAAGCAAACCTGGCCAGGTGCAGT